AGTGTATTATTCAGTGTGTATTATTGCAGCTATAGCTTCTGTTTGCTCTGCTCTGCTTTGCCTGCACCCCTAGTGGATGCAGTGCAGTACTGCACAGAAAGTGGGATGATTCTAGCTTCACTGAGCCCTCAAACTGACTTGGGCCCTGGGAATTTTGTATCCCCAACCAGTGTTCCCTCTAAGCTGAGTTAGTGTGAGCTAGCTCACAGTTTTTTAGCCTCCAGCTCACACATTTTTGTCTTAGCTCAGGAAGGAGGGCTCCAGAACAAACTAATCTATGCAGTAACCAAATCGCTCGCTCACAACTTTAATGACAGTAGCTCACAAAGAAGAATTTTTGCTCACAAGACTCCACAGCTTAGAGGGAACATTGCCCCCAACCCCCTCCTCATTGGCGGCCCTGTTGATAGGAAATCTCCAAAAGTTGCAGATCCTAATTATATGATGAGGTCAAATAGAAATTGTACAGCGTTTGTAAAAGGTCATTTCTCCATGGTTTACAAATGTTTTGTGTGTGGATGTTTTAATTTTTATTTCTTCCTTCTATGTCCTCCTTATCTATGTTGTGTCTCATGACTGTTCTGGATTGTCACTTGCGGTAGGTTTCTTTCGCTCTTTGGACACACCTAAAGCTCTGACATCTTTACAGAGCAATCCTATGCAGAGTTGCTCGAGGCTCTACCCTTTAACTGAGTAACTCTGCGTAGGGTAGCACCACCCCTCTCCTGACACCTGTGGCTCCTAGATGGAGATTTATACATAACTTTGACACACATCAAGAGACTGAACTAAATTGATTTCTTTTGCAGGCTTAAGGGGTTTTTTTCTCTATAACAAACATCCATTAATCCAGCGAGTATTAGAAAGCTCAAGTTTTGATATGCACAGAAAATAATATATTTGTGTTTCCTTTTTGTATATATGTATATATACTATCAGTGCTGGAGTAAGAGTGCTAAACAAAAAAATGAAGAAAGAAAATATTGTTTCCCATTGGTGTTGAAAAGATTGGAATCTCATTCGATTACTGTGTGCTCCGTATCTCATAGTGTTTATATGGCCTTTACACTTTTAGCTGTCTCCACAACCCTGGCTGAACTAAACTGACTTCAGGAAATATGTTGGTGTTACTGGAAAATATTTGGACCATTATTTTTGAAGTATCTTCCTATCACAAGTTTCACTGCCATAGTTTATCAGTCTGCAGCAATCCTCCTGTGTCTCCTATAATTTTCTGCTGCAATTCCCCCCCCCCTTGTTCGAAGAGGGGTGGTGGAAACCACACACAAACTCAGCTCTAGAGACACTATAATAGGTTCTGATTTAATGACTCTGAATTTAATGTATTGGTACAGCAAATTCCTTGCTTAGGCTCAGCCTTTGGGAAAGAAAGAGACTTAATCATATCAGTGATGAACAGTGGCAGTGAAAAATTATCAAAAATTTAGTCCTGTGTCTTGAAGAATAATTGCAGCCACTGTCTCTGTGTTTTATTAGGTCAAAAAGTGTTGGAGGAGAAGGAGATGTAATATCACAGCTCTTCCAAACTGCATCAGGCTGAAATATTCTCACTTTGCTGGATACTTTGGTTTTACAGAGAAAGAGACTCTTGATTAGGCCAGGACATTGGGACTTGGCACGGGGTGCGGGGTGCTACAAAGGCATATTGTATGATGGTCTCTCACTGAGCCTTACTTCTTCCCTGTTTACCTGTGAGGGAGGGAAACATACATCTGCTACATTGGTATGTCCATGGATATAACTCCATCCATATAGCTGACTGAGATGCTGGTATCTGATCACCGCACCACCAACATGATGTCATGTTTTCTGTTATTGAGCTGACCTGTTTGTTGGCACTTACCCTTGCCCTTGGTTTGGTACAGAGAATCTAAGAACTGGGCTATGAGAACTGCAGTCCACCAATGACGGAGTACTTGCTTTATCTAGAACACTTTCATTCTGCCCTTTCTTTAGAGAACTCAGGCAGCATACATTGTGGTTCTCTCTTACACTTTCTAGCCTCACAACATGTGAGGTAGGTTAGGCTAAGAGTGATCACTAAGCAGGTTTCATGACAGAGTGGGAATTTGAACCCACACCTCCCAGGTCCTAATCTATTTCTCTACCACACTGTCTCTCACTTTAGGACACTATTTTGCTTGGTGAAAGTTCCATGTATTTCCATGTAGGGAAAAGCCTCTTGTGCTGAATTTCTATTATACAGCTGTTAAAAAAGCAGACCTGCTCTTCCTACTTTCTACCTATGTTTTCTCTTTTCAGATGAAAGATCTGCATTTTTGCAACACTTAAAACATGCAACTATAAACAAAATAAAATCTTAAATTAATATTTAAATGAAATGCAATATAGGTGTATTAACTGGAATGCAAATTTTATGGAAATCAGAGTTTCTTATTTCTGGGTAAACATTTTAACAATCATCAGACAATTAAGATTTCTGCTTGGCAAGGCCACTAACATGGAATTCATTCTCCCCCATCCAATAGCGTCTTTCTCCCCCCCAAGAATTTTTACAATGCTTCCATTATCTGGGGTGTCACATTTGCTTCAGCAAATTGTGCAGGCTTATGCTAGGGCTGTAGTTACTGACCTCAAGGTAGAAAAGAGCAAGAGTCCAGTAGCACCTTAAAAACTAACAAAATATGTTGCAGGGTATAAACATTTGTGAGTCATTGCTCACTTCTTCAGATATCTGAAGAAGTGATCAGTGTGCCACATATTTTGTTAGTCTTTAAGGTGCTACTGAACTCTTGCTCATTTCTACTTCTGCAGACTAACACAGGCCCCGTCCATACGGCAGGGGAAAGACGGGGCGAAGCGCGGCTTTTAAAAGCCGCGCCAAAGAAAACACGCCCCGGCGGGATCCCACGGATCCCAGTTGCCACGCTCCGTTGCTCCCCGGCACGATCAGATGCCGGGGAGGATGAGACGCTCGAAGGCGGAGGCTGCCGTACTGCGCATGCTCAAGCATGCGCAGTACAGCAGGGGGGCCGGGGATGCGACGGCGGCAAGATGCGCCGCCGATCCCACGGCAGGGATGACGCGCACCATCAGGATGAACCACCGAAGGTAGGTGGTTCATCTTTGATGCGCTTCATCCCGGGAAGGGCCAGATTGGAGGCAGGAGCATGACACCAGCCAGATGTTGGGGTGGGATCGCGCCCGTTTGCTCCGCTTCCAATCTGGCCCGCTCCTGGCCCAAACTGCCTCGTGTGAACGGGGCCACAGATACCCATCTTGGCCTCAAGGTGCTGTTCTCTCAGAATTACATCCAATCTCCAGATAACAAAGATGTACTTCTGCAGGTGTTATTCTGTAAATGTAAAGCAAATCTTCAAGCATGCACTTTTTCACAGTCTCTTTCAACATTTCTGTGCTATAGGACACTATTGCAATAGTAATTGAAGCAAGTCATCAGCATTGCTTTGTTAAGTGATAAATAATGTGTAATCACAGCTTTAAAGCAGCCTACATTAAATAATCCATCATTTTTTGCCTTTAATATAATGCATTAAGCCAGTGAAGGCTATGTGATATGTGTCCGTAATGCTATCCTTTGTGAAACCAAGCCAAGTTAGACTCTCATTTACTTTTATAGGGACAGAATAATTTGTATCCTAGTTTCCCAGGCTACTATCACTATCTGTTGGCATCTATATAAATTTTAGAAGTTTAAAGTTCATCCTCTAATAGTGAAATGCAAGGGTATAAATCTGTTCAGAGATCCAATTTTCAGATTGTGATTGCAGGCAAGGTAGCTGGCATTAACTCTTTCTCCTGATGTACTGAAATTTATTTTTATTTTGGACAAGGAGAGGGGAAGTAGGCTTTATTTATTATTACTATGCAACTGATAAAGAAATTACTTTCAAAGGAAAATCTAAAACTGTCTTGAATTAAAAGGTGCATAGAGAAACACATTTAGGCCCCCAAACAACTATAATTAGTCCTGACTAGGTCACAGCGAATCTAATGGAACAAGTGGGCCATAGCTAACATTAGTCACATTTCTTTAGTCAAAGCTTTAATTGCATTGGAACCTTAACAGGGCAAATTCTAAACAGAATAATACCTTTTGTCAAGCCATTGACTTCAATGAACTTAGAAGGCTGTAAATCTGTTTAAAATTATGCTGTAAGGCTTTTAACTCGCAATAACAAAAGATACAAACTTGGGCTTTCTAATACTACATAAATTTTCTCTTGTATGAAATCTTTGTTGCAAACTGCAGTGCCTTTTGAAAACAATGCTGTTGTTTTTATCTAGCAGTCCCATTTTTTTCCTTTATTGTTGTGCCAAAATCTTTAAATCAATTTGGTTCAGCCTGGCTTTAAACTGAGAACGAATGAAAAGGGGAGGGGGAGGCAAAAGAGGCCTTCTTTTCGGCAAACCTGCATTTGCTAATGGCATGGTGTTACCTTTGCTTCCATACTCATCATAAATGAAAAAAAGCATTACAGTGTTTAGCATCTCATTTTATGAAGAAGTCACATGCAACTACATATTTCTAAATAGCTGTAATTCTGCAGAAACAGTTTGCTTTTGTGCAGACAATTCACAGCATGCACAACTGTTTTAAATTGAATGGATGTGTGACCTTGCCTATTTAATAGCATGTTCATCCACATTTGCCTCTGGACAAGGCAATTGGATTCAATCAGAATTTTTTTAAAAAACAGATCAAGTTGACATTCTCTTTGTGTTTCAGGCTTTGAAACAATTGCTGCTTGCAATATCCTCAAGAAGCACTTTTTCCCTGTTTCATTGCTTCCTTGCTGCTTGCTAAGGATAATTTTCTCTTGTGCAACCAGAGCATTCTAAATATATATGTCAACAACATATATGGTTTTTTGCCTTCATGCTTGCTTTTAATGGCTTCACCATAGGATTGAGCACGAGTGCCTGTTTTGCAGGGGGGTGGCTGGAAGGATGTCTTATTGATTACTGTTATTGTTGCCCCTTCCCCTTCTTTACAGGCCCTTAAGGATGATGATGATGATGCTGAAACTGGGTTGACTGATGGGGAAGATAAAGAAGAACCCAAAGAAAATGAGAAATTAGGAAAAATCCAGTACTCTTTGGATTATGACTTCCAGAACAACCAGGTTCGAAATAAGAGAGATGAGATGGCATTGTATGAGTGAGAAGACTATGATACAAATGTATACACAGTGCTCATTTCTGAATCCTTTAAAATATTTTCAGGCACCTGGCAAAAACATGTTTCTCTTTAACCCAGGCATTTAATAGAAAGGGACCCATCTTTTAAAAAGCTGTTTTTATAGTCTGTTGCTGGCCTGAAGACAGATAACATTTCAAACTGTAGAGTTTTGCCCTCAAACTAGAGCATCCCACATGATGTTGCCAACGCGACACTTTTGGGTGATGTCATTGCAACAGGGAACATCCCGCAACACCCCCCAAATCCCCCCACTTGCTCGGCAAGGGGGCCTGGCATCCCTAGGTCCATCCCATGTCCACCAAAGCATTTGCAGCTCTTTATAAATTGCTGCAAGCCTCCAATTTGGATTAAGCATGTGGCACAGCAACCCCAGGAGCTCTTCCCCCCCATGCCTTTTCATATGCAGAAACAGCCCCCCCCCCCCATGGCTGTTTCTATGCTTGAAAAGGCACAGAGGGGGAACAAGCTCCTGGGGCCACTGTGCCACACACCCAATCCTTATTGGGGCCTCACCACAATTTTAAAAGAACTACAAATGCTTTTAAAATGCTGTTGGCACCTACAGGATAGACCCATGGCCTCTGTCACGTGTATTTTGGCCCCAAACATACTGAGGTTTGTTTAAGGCATCTCAGTGCAGCCTGTGTTTGCCAGTGACTCAAGCATTTGCCAGATGCTGATTGTTATATAACAAGAAGCTATGTCTTCAGTCTTTTTTCCACAACAGTAAGATTGTACTCTATATTCTGCAAATCTTCCCAGCTAACTCCCACCATCTATTCTATTTTTCAGAGAAGGCATAAAAGAGTCAAAGAGCCTACAGAAGGATTTTCCCCCCTCTGTTCCAAAAGTAAACACGTATACAAAAGTAGTCTGTGAGTTCTTTAGTTGGCACTCTACATCACTAGGATCTCTTGAAATCAGTAGGAAACTTAAATCTTCAAAGGACAGAAGATGTAAGGGGAAGAAAAAAGAGAAAAAGTTGTAAATCTTTTGTGATAAACAGATTTAACCTTCTTCAGTAGAAAGAGGAAAAATTGTTATGAATGTTATTTAAAGTAGTGACATACTACCTTTGAGGAGTTGCTTTTAAGAGTTTGTTTTTGCAGTGAAATCTTATATTGTGTTCCTTGTTTAATTAAGTTGCTCAGGAGCATTGATTATGCATTCATTTTTTTTTTTTTGGCTACTATATGTCACATTTCCCTTCGGATGCTTGAAATCCCTTGGAATTGGAGGCAGTGCAGTGGCTTTAAGAAAAAAGGAGAAATTCATGGAGCCATAACCTGGAAATTCAGTTACTGGTCATTACTAGGCACAGAGCTTAAAATTGGGACTAGATGATCAAAATACTCTACAGCATAATGACTCCATTATAGAACGAATTTGCAAAGAAAAGTGAATTGATTGTCATGTACTTTGGAGGCACTTCTGGCATGTACTATGGAAGACATCACAAAGGATTTGAATCCTGATCTTTTAAACAGGAGATGCTGGGGACTGAGCCTGTGACTTTCTGCATGCAAAGCCATAGTGCTATGGCTCCCCCACACACACAAGGGAGAGAGTCACAAGTGCAAAGATGAGCCGAAAACACGATTGATAGCTCATGAGGACCAGGTTCTTTTTTGTCATTCAGTGAGGAAAAACAACATTGTTATGGGAAACAGGGTATGGTTCAAATTGACCCCTACAAGCCATATGTTACCTATTGGTTGTTTTGGTAGAAACAATAGTTTCATACAAAAGGGTGGGGCACAGGACTTTAACCTAAATCTTCTACTGCACAGAACAAATCCTTAATTGTACAACCACATAAGGATGGTAGGCTCGTGATGTGGCTACTGCAGCCTACTAGGGGCCCAGATCATGGCACCTACCATCCCCCCCCCCAAAAAAAAACCCTATGTAGACAAGAACTAAAGGGGCCTTAAATTAAAGGTAGTGGCCTACTGAAACAGGATGGACTAAATATGCAAGAGGTCCCAGAGCCCAATTCCTAGACATAATGCTACAGGAGAAAGGGCTGGAAAAGCACATGGGCAAGACTATAAGGGCAATCATATGGTCTATGAAGCAATAATTACCTTTGGGTCTGACCCAGTCATATACTAAGTTCTCTTTTATTTTTCCCATTCCCCTGATCCAATCACAACTTCTGTGTTCTACTGATTAATTTCCAATGCCTGCTACCTACGTTCTTCTAAAGGCATTATAATTTATGCCTCTGTTCAGTATCAGAAAAGCAATACTGTTTGGTTTATTATCACACCAGCAGGAGCCAGGAGAGTAAGGAGGAAAAGAGAGTGGTTGAGACTTCTTGTTCTAAGAGTTCATGTACAAAGTGGCAAGGCTGTGGCCAAGATGCAGACTACAAGGCCTAACAGTCCAGCCCCTAATAAAGTGGGAGTTTCTACTCTGCTGACATGGGCACCATATTTATTAAATATGATCTGCGATGGTGAGAGTTCTGGAAGCAACCTCTAGAAATGGGGTGGCAAGTCTTTCAGTCCTTGGATTCCTATGCCTGCAACAGCTGCAAGACAGACAGGGGCAACTTCCCCATCACTGAGCCTTAAAGCTAAAAATGCTGTACCTGTTATATATTATTATTATTATTTATTGATTTTTATCCCACCCATTCCGGCTTAGGCTGGCTCAGAGCGGCTCACAGCAAGATAAAACTTATAATACAAAAAACATATTGCTCACATTAATACCATTTTGATAAATAATACAGTAACATAAAGCAATATTAAAAACAACAATAATAAAGTGCTAGCAATGCCGGTATTTACATTAATACTATTGGTCAGCTTCGGTTGTGGGGGGGGGGGGACTAGGCCAGGCAATAGTCACAGGGACCTGTGGCTCAGGACTACTACCATGACTATCAGTTGTTACTAGTACTGCTACCAATGGTTATAGTTGTAGTGGTGGTGATGGTGGTGGTGATGGTGGTGGCAGCTCCAAAGGCCTGGCGGAAGAGCTCCATTTTGCAGGCTCTGTGGAACTGTAAAAGGTCCCGCAGGGCCCTGATTTCCTCTGGGAGCTCATTCCACCAGAGTGGCGCCACCACCGAAAAAGCCCTGGCCCTAGTTGTTGCCAGTCTGGCCTCCTTAATACTCGGGAGGACCAGTCGGTTCTGGGTCCCTGAACGCAGTGCTCTCTGGGGCATAGATGGGGAAAGGCGGTCCCTCAGGTATGTCAGATCCTGGCCATAAAGGGCTTTAAAGGTAAGTACCTTTAGCACCAGCTGGATATGCTCCCAAATTGAGAGTCACATCACTAGCCTGCAGCTGCAGCTTCCAGATTTGCACCAGCTGCAGCTTCCAGATTTGCGTCAAGGGCAGCCCCATGTAGAGGTCATTACAATAATCCAATCTCGAGGTGACCATCGCATGGATCACTGTTGCCAAGTCACTGCGTTCGAGGAAGGGGACCAACTGCCTTATCAGCTGAAGGTGGTAAAAGGCCGCCTTGGCAGTGGCTGCATCCTAGGCCTCCATTGTTAAGGAGGCATCCAGGAGGACCACCAAACTCCTAACCTCCAGTGCTGGCACCAATGGTGCCCCATCGAAGGTCGGGAGCAGGGTCCCTACCCCTGGACCGCCGCAACTCAGGCACAGGACCTCCATCTTCATTGGATTCAATTTCATCTAGCTCAGCCTAAGCCAACCAGCCATGGCCTGCAACGCCCAACCTAGGACTTCCGGTTTGGAGTCGGACTGGCCGTCCAACAACAGATAAAGCTGGGTGTCATTCGCATACTGATGACAACCCAGTCCATATCACTTGGCAATCTGGGCAAGAGGGCGCGTGTAGATGTTAAAAAGCATCGGGGACAACACCACCCCTTTTGGCACTCCACATTCCAGTAGGTGCCTCCGGGACAGCTGATTCCCCAGTGCCACTCTTTGTCCCCGACCTTGGAGAAAGGAAACATGCCACTGTAAAACTAGTCCCTGGATTCCAGTGTCGGCGAGGTGGTGGATCAGTAGCTGATAGTCGGCCGTATCAAACGTGGCCTACAGGTCTAACAGCATCAGCACTGCCGATCCGCTCCGACCCAGATGCCTTCGGAGGTAATCTGTGAGGGCGACCAGTGCTGTCTCCATCCCATGCCCAGGACGAAAGCCGGACTGGAAGGGATCTAAGATAGAAGCATCATCCAGAAAGCTCTGTAACTGAAGTGCCACTGCCCTCTCTATTATCTTGCCCAAGTACGGCAAGTTGGAGACTGGCCAATAGTTGGCCAACTTGGTCGGGTCCAAAGATGGCTTTTTCAAGAGGAGGCGCACCACTGCCTCCTTAAGTGCTCCCAGGAACTGTCCCTCTAAGAGGGACTTGGTGACAATCTCCCGTATGGCATCCCGTAGCCCCTCATGAGCCACTTTAATTAGCCACAATGGGCATGGATCCAGGAGGCATGTGGTGGGGCGTACAGTTAAAGAGCAACCTGTCAACTTCTTCTAGGCTGAGCAGGTCGAAATAATCCAGAATGTCACCAGAAGACATGCTAGGAGCCTCGAGTTCCTTCACTGTATCAACAGTGGCCAGAAGGTCATGGTGGAGCGACAAGACTTTATCCCCAAAATAGTTCACAAAAGCCTCACAGCCAATATCCAATTCCCTATGGTTTAGTCTGCTTTGTGGCAGAGCTGTAATCAACCAAATTGTTCTAATTAATTGGGCTGGGCATGAGCTTGCAGATGCAATTGTGGCCGCATAATACTGTCTTTTTGCAGCCTTGACTGCCATCTCACAGAATCTCATAAACATCCTGTAAGATGCTCTTGTAGCTTCATCGTGAACCCACCACCACTGCCTCTCTAGCCATCTCAGCCCCTGTTTCATCAGCCGCAGCTCCTGGGTAAACCATGGGGTGAGCCTGGCCCGGGGGTGCAGAGGGTGCCAGTGAGC